GCTAGCCTTGATCAGAGTTTGAACTTTATTTTCAGTACACAGTAAGGTAATTTTTTTTTTTTTGAGAGGAGTCATGCAATCCAATTTACATATTTAGAAAGATTACACTAATTATATTGTGGAAACTGGATAACAGGACACTAGATACTGTGACACTGGTTGAGAGATGAGTGAAGGTAGTGGCCTGAACTAGGGTTTTGGCGATAGGGATGGAGTAAAATGACAAAAGACGACAAACACTTAGTAAGGCTTTGAATAAAAGTATACTTATGTGTGTGTGTGAGTGTATGTAGAAGAGATGCAAGATGAGGCATTTAGCCCTGATTCTATATAATTTAACCCAACGCTGAATTTCTAACTCAAATGGATATATTCAAACAACTACTGCACATAGAAGTCTGGTACTTCAAAGAGACAATTTTTTTTTCTTTTTTTTTGGTTAATGGGAACTGTAATTAGAAACTGAAACCAAAGAAAGAAAGTGCATATAGTAAGAAGAGATTCTAGAGATAGATGGAATTCCAATATTTGAGTAGCAGGTGGGTCAAAGAAGTGGGCTTAAAAAAGACTAAGATACTGCTTAAGATAAAAAAGAAGAGGGAGATGATAATTTTAGTAACTACAGTATGTTTCTAGAAGTATGTTTCTAGAAGAATAGAGTAGTAAATACTATTAAATGGCACAAAGAGGTTAGGGTACAAGAACATAAAATGTCCAAAGGTTTAATAGTGTATTGCAATTTTCTTTTCCTTACTTTCTGCTGAAAAGCCTTTTTAGAATCTACCCTCAAATCCTTACACCATAAATTTAAAAATAATTTTCATTTTTAAATTGTAAATTGACAAATTATAGTTGTACATATTGATATAGTGATAGTATGATTTATGAATAAAAGGTGGAATTATTAGATTAAGCTAATCAATATACCCAGAAAAATTTTATGGAGCAGAATATTGTATATCTGTTTACATACTCTAAATGTCAGTGCTTTATACATAATGTCAGTGCTTTATACATAAAAGAAGTATAGCTGAGGTGAATTCCAAGTTTGAGGCCATCCTCAGCAACTTGGTGAGACAATTAACAACATAATGAGAACTTGTCTCAAAACAATAAATAAAAAAGGTCTGGGAATGTAGGTCAGTGGTAAAGTACCCCTGAGTTCAACCCCTAAAACAAACAAACAAACAAACAAACAAAAAAAAGAATACAATTTTCTTTGCCTTACATGATACAGTATCTATCCACATTGAGAATGCATGACTTTTTTGGAAAAAAAATTTTTCACAATACCTTTATTCTTTTTATTTATTTTTATGTGGTACCGAGGATTGAACCCAGGGCCTCACATGTACTAGGCAAGTACTCTACTGCTGAGCTATAGTCCCAGCCCAAGAATGCATGACTTTCAAAAAAAAAATTTTTTTTTAAATTGCAGATGAACACAATACCTTTATTTATTTATTTTTATGTGGTTTTGAGGTTTGAACCTAGTGCCTCACACATTCTAGACAAGCACTCTACCACTCAGCCACAATCCCAGCTCTGAGAATGAATGACTTAACACACAGAGAACATTCAATTTCTTGGTGAAAATAGTTTCAGTGGTAGTTTAGTGAAATGCTAGAAAAAAGTCATTTTAGTAGGCTGAGAAATGAAATAGCAAGTAGGAAAAATATGGATAAGTAGTTCTGAGAAGAAAAGAAAGCAAATGGTTAATTTTGGAACGCATTGTGATAGACTGCTTTTCTAGGGTACTATGAGGCCCTAGGTTTGATCCCCAGCACTAAAAATACACACACACACACACACACACACACACACACGAAGTCAAGCTGGGAAGGGAATGAAAACATTAAAGTAATAAAGCAACACATACACACATTTTTTTTTTCTTCTGTGGTACTGGGGATTGAACCCAGGGACTCATATGCATGATTAGAAATGCATTCTATCACTGAGCTATGTCCACAGAAAGTCCTTTTTATTTATTTTTAATCTTTAAAAAAATATTTATTTTGTAGTTATAGGTGAACACAATATTTTATTTTTATGTGGTGCTGAGGATTGAATCCAGTGCCCCATGCATGGTAGGCAAGCACTCTACCTCTGAGCTACAACCCCAGCCCCTTTATTTTTAATTTTGAGACAGAATCTCACTAAGTTATCCAGGATGACCTTGAACCTGAGATCCTTCTGTCTCATCCTACTGAGTAGCTGAGATCACAGGCAGGTGCCAATATTTTTAGGTGTAGATGGACACAACACAATGCCTTTATTTTTATGTGGTGCTGAGGATTGAACCCCAGCCATGCTACTCTACCGCTGAGCCACAATCCCAGCCCCCCATCAGAATATTTTTAAATGAAGAAGGGAAAGTGTAATAAGGAAGAAAATGCTGAGGAAATCACTGAAAGAAAGAGGACTCGAGATTCAAAAGAGGATGGCATTGAGAGACTAGGTGAAAGGATCTGCCTTCTCTAAGGATAACAAATACCTTTTCCCCTTTAAATAGAAGGAAAAAATTAAAATTGGCCCAGTGGCACATGCCCTTAATTCCTGTGGCTAGGGAGGCTGAGGCAGGAGGATCTCAGATTCAAAGCCAGGTCCAGCAACTTAGCCAGGCCCTAAGCAGCTCAGTGACCCTGTCTCTAAATAAAATACAAAAAAGGGGTGGGGATGTGGCTCAGTAGTTGAGCACCCCTGGGTTCAATCTCCAGTACCCAGCTCCCACCAAAAAAATTAGGGAAGAGAGGCTGGAGTTGTGACTCAGAGTGCTTGCCTTGTATAGTGAGGATCTGGGTTTGATTCTCAGCATCACATATAAATAAATAAAATAAAGTTCCAACAACTAAAAAACATTAAAAAAAAAAAGGAAGAATGTATGTTTGGCTGCAGGAAAATAAGGGCTTCTATTTTCTCTGTGTAATGGGAAAGACTGTCATTTAAACAGGAGAGAGTTCCTCTTCTCTGTACATGCCCTTTTGCTACTCATGAATTAAGATCTGAACTACTTATGAATATCTAGTCTACAAGAAACACCAATAGCATATTAGGTTGGATTGTTAGAAACATTGTAAAAATATCAAGATTCTGTAAGAAAAATTAATCCTGCTTTAAGAGAGCGAATTATTTTAAAATAATGAATTATTTAAGATTTCTACATATGAATTTCAGGTAATTCTTCCTTCACCTCACTGGCTTCACTCTTCCTATGGTCTCAACTTAAAATCCGGACTCCCCCAAGTTAATCCTTCCACTCCCTTCTATCTCCTCCAGGATCTTATCTCCTCTTTCCTGAATTTTTACTTTATACATTGATTACTTGCTTTTTGCTCCTAAGCATGTCTTGTAATTTTTACAACGAATAATTCCCAAACCTTTCCTCCATGCCAGCAATATTGCTTCATGCCTCAAAACATGCAGGGTTTAATCTACATTTCCTGTCTTTCCTCAGTCACTGATTGTTAAACGAGTTCTCTAAAACTAACCAATGACTTTCTAGTCATCAGATCAACTATCTATTCTGATTTCAATGTTCTTCTTTGACTCCCTGATAACTTTCACCAAAACAAAACAGATGTTTCTTACCCTATTATACATTTGTTTGTCTCTTTTCTCATCCTGAAAGTTGCCGACTTAATTTTCAAGACTTTTTTTTAAAAATTAATTCTTTCTACCTATTTCCACCTAAGCCATCGTTTCAAATTCGAGAAATCCAAACTTCACAAAGTTTCTCCCCCTCCTGTGAAAGCTACTTATTTTATCATGGTACCAACTTCTCAACCATATAGTTTGGAAGCTTCAGGTTCAAACATCTAACCATCACATCTAACCAGGCCCATCACTCTTCACTTTTCCGTATTCACTCCCACTTCCTCAGTTTATATCACCTCTCTTTAGAAGAAATGCAAGTCCCTCCACCCCAAGCTCATCTAGGAGGCATTCTCAGAACGTCCGCTCAGACTCATAGGGGTTTTGTTCCTTAAAACGGAAGCCTTGAGTCTGAAATTAAAATCGTTGGAATTTCAGCTCACTGTGGTTGCAGGATCTTTTATCCGCGCCGGAGCACGGAGAGGGACCCCAGTGAGCTTGACCGACTGGGGCCAGGTGTTTGAGAATACTGGGTTGCAGGTGTACCTCTCCCTTTGGGCCCAGCTGACCAGAAAGCCCGGAAGGCCGAGCGTCGGGGAAGGCGCGGCCCTGGTCCACAACAGCAAAGACGCTCCCGAAGCCCAGGCAGAAGTCTCGAGCTCCAGCTCTTCAGCGGACTCCCTAGTTTTTTGAGCAGTCCCCAGGTTGCACACTCCCCGCCCCTCACACTCACCCCGACACCTGGGAAAGTCAATGATTCGGCGCCGGGTCCTCTCCGGAGCGAAGCTGAGGCAGCAGAGAAGGCCGCGAGGACCCCGAACTTAGAGTGCCCCGTAGACTGCCTGATTAACAGCTCCAAAGACACAAATTCCGTTTACAGAATTAGATTAAATCAGCAGAAAGACTTAAATGAGCGGAAACACGTCTCTTGAGGTTGAAGATCCAAATCTTCTAAATTACCCAGGATCTAGAAGAATGAGGAGTTTCGCACCATCTGGATGCAGGCGCTCATCCGCAGCCTAAGGCGCTCTGGGGTCCCTTACAGTAGGCTAAATGGGGTCACAAGGGGCGGGGCATTTGCTGTGGGGCTGAGAAGGTAGAGCCAATGGTTTTGAACCCGAGAGTCCCAAAATAGGCGGAGTCGGAGGGCGGGGTTTAGGGGAGAGGAGGCGGTGATGCGGCGAGGGGGCGGAGCTAGATAGCTAGGGGGCGGGGCGTGCGGTGGAGTCTAAGTAAGGTGGGAGTACGAACATGGCAGCAGCTGAAGAAGAACCGAAGCCCAAAAAGCTGAAGGTGGAGGCGCCGCAAGCGCTGAGGTGAGCGCTGCCTGACGTGGGGAGGAGGGTGACGGCGCTTGCAGCAAGCCAGGACCCACGTGGGGTTGCGCCAGCACCCACGCTGGCTTCTGTCGTTCTCCCAGCATGGGGCCGATAAGCAGGACCTGCTCCTCTGGGAGTTGCTCTTTTGGCCACGACCTCTCGCCTGGAGCCTTCTCAGTTTGGCTCAGTCGCCTCTTACTCAGGTGCGGCTCTGCTCTGGCAGCCCTTGACCAATCGAAAGCAGCCGGCCAAGGGGCCTATCCTCCTGCCGGCGCCACGTGCGAGTCCGCCCGGACTGGGCTGGTGCGCCCCTAGAGTACCAGTCTGGAGCCCTATCCGCCGCTGCTATCTTCTCTTGGCAAGGAGAAAGCGGCGAAACGGCCAGCGCCTTCTCTACCTAAGAGCAAAGATAGTATTTTGGGGGACTTTTCCGAAAGTGTTGGGATTTTTTTTTCCCCCGCAGTTACACACTCTGAAAGTCGGCGCCTTTGCAGACCCTTTACCAGGGATCCAGACCCAGAACCCAGCTCCCAGGCCTTGCGGGGGCGGCATTTGGCTGAATGTATAGGAAAGGTTGATTTTTCTTTTTTTATTTGCATTCTTTTGGCAGCATCGGAGACAGTTCTGCCCCTAATACCTGCCTCTTACGTGATTGATGTTGCAACTTTTACTCATAAAAAAATCTTGTTAAAACATTTCTTCCTAATAAGAATAAAACGCAGCATGCAAATCTTTGATGATTTTGAAATGTTCATTGGAAGGCCGTGATTTTTTTTTTTTTTCTGGGTCCAAAAATAGACATCAAACATTTAAAACCTTGGGGACACTGCTGATTATCCATTTCTTCCAGCATCACTCTTTTCATCTCAGAATGAATTATTCACAATGGAAAAGAAAAGGTCACTTAGGGGTTTGGTTGTGTGTTCATGTTGTTTTGAATGGAGAATGACCAAATCCCTATCAGTGCTTTTAATGTATTCCCACCTTATATCAAGACCATAAAACTTTTAAAATAACTTAGGATGTTCTATTTCTGTTTTAAGCTTCCAAACCATTTTAAGGTAGAATAACGCAAGGGCATTAGAATCAGATCTACCTGAGTTTAAGGCGAGCACTTTCTCCATTCAGTGCTTTATTAGAATGCTTGCTTAAAAGGCACCTCCTTCACCAAGCTTCCAAATTGGAAGACAGATGCATCTTTTCCTTATGATTCTACTAATCATACAGCCTTTCGATTTTGTCTTAGTAAAAACAATACTTTATATATAATGTTGAGCAACTTCAAAGTGTTTTCCTATTATCTTGTTGGACAGCACTATAATTTAAGACAAGGATTACTCCTATTTTACATATGAGAATAGTGAAGCCCAGATGAAATATTGAAGAACACAAATATGAAGTCAGGGCATCTTTGTTATTTGATTCTACTGTGCCTACTTTTATATAAATATACAAGATAGTATTTGCTTGTGCATCTTTTAAAATAATGATAAATAATAATGTTTAATACTTAAATATGTATATACCAGGTACTGTTTTGGCATTTTCACATATTTTAGCTTAATTCCATGACAGCCTTTATAAGGTAGACACTATAATTGTCTCCATTTTATCAAAAAGAAAACAAGCACAGATATGTCTTTAGTGTCTATTATAACCCTCATAAAATTCTTTAGACAACTAAAGTATTCACTTTATACAATATTAACCTAGTGATTAGACATTTTGAGTACTGGGACAAATTTGAATCTGGTGTTGGCCGTTCTTTTTTACTGTATTGGTTTGGCTTCAGGTTTGCAGTGTAATAGTGCATTGAGTTATACTGAATAACTCTATGACAAGTTGCTTAACAGATAAGGGATAGCTACCAGTTTTGACTGTTAAGGAGAATGACTTACACATTCTAAACATTATATTTATTTTTGGTATAGGGGATGAACCCAGGGGTGCTTTACCACTGAGCTTTATCCCCAGTCCTTTCAAATTTTTTATTTTGAGACACAAGGTCATCAAGTTGCTGAGGCAGGTGTAGAATTTGTGATCTTGCTGCCACAGCCTCCCAAATCTCAGATTACAGGCATCCACCACTATCCTCTAGGTATAATTTAATGTGTAGACTCAGTCAGTCAGTGTAGAATCTTTTTTGTTTTGTGGTATTGGGGAATTAATCCAAGGCTTTATACATGCTAAGCAACTGCTCTACCTCTGAGTTATATTCCTAGCCCTTTTTTATTTCATTTTGAGGCATCGTCTTGCTAAATTGCCCAGGCTGGCCTCCAAATGTAATTATCCTGCCCCAGCCTCTCACGTAGCTATGATTAAAAGTGTTTGCCACCATGCATGCCCAGCTGGGAACAAGTAAATCAGTGAGATTTATTTGTGTCAGATAAAGAATTTAGGTATTGTGAGAATTTCAGTTAGCTCCAGGGCAATAGTTCTCAACCATGGGAAATTTTGTCTCCAAGGGGAAATTTGGCAAAGACTGAAGACACTTTTCTAAATTAATTAATTAATTTTTATGTGGTGCTGAGGATTGAAGCCAGTGCCTCACATGTGTTAGGCAAGCGTTCTACCACTGAGCTACATCCTCAGCCCCTGAAGACATTTTTGGTGGTGAGTGTTACTAGTGTTTTTTTTTTTTTTTTTCCATACTAGGAATTGAAACCAGGGGTGCCTTACCACTGAGCTATAATCCCAGCCCTTTTTACTTTTTATTTTGAGACAGGGTCTTGCTAATTGCTCAGGCTGGCCTTGAAAAATGCAATCTTCCTGCCTCAGCCTCCTGAGTTGATAGGACTACAAATGTGTGCCACTGTGCCTTGTTAGTGGGTAGATTTTAAGGATGCTGGTAACCATCTACAATGCACAGGACATCCCCTTACAATAGAGAATTGTTTGACCAAGATTGTTAAGATTGTTGAGGTTAGAAAACTCTGAGGGAGAGCATCAGATAAGAGTAGCCTCTCTTTTTCATATATATTTTGTTTTAGAAAGGCTGGGTTGCTTTTCAGGGTACAGCAGTTGCTAAAATTGCAAAGAAAGACTCTAATATATTTTTGGCTGGATTTGGGGAGAGGGGTTTAAGTAATGGAGTGCCAGGCATACTAGGTGTCTTAGGTAGGTTATTTCATTTAATTTTCCCAACAATTATGAGATAGGAGTAATGGTTCTTGTGTTACAGGTGAAGTAGATAAGGCTGAAAAAGGGGAAAATTCATTTTTGGGAAATACTCCCTAAGTGAAGATACTCCTTGATGATTACCTATATTTAGGACTACTTAGATTTCTTTTTTTTCCCCTTGGAAATCTAAGTTCATTTCTTCTGCGGTCACCTCTACAAGGATACAGCGCCTTCCAAGGCTTATTGAGCACATGCCAAATCTGTTCTTTCACTCTGTCTTTCAAGTACATGCTATTTTAGGCATGATACTAAAAACTGGGTTTAAAGAGTAAGACCAGGTTCCACCCTCCTATTTGGAATTAAGTGGGGTTTGGGAAATTGATTCCTGGAGCTTTTTTTTTTTTTTTTTTTTAACACAATACCTTTATTTTTTATTTATTTTTTTATGTGGTACTGATGATTGAACCCAGTGCCTCATGCATGCCAGGTGAGTGTTCTACAATTGAGCCTCCAGGAGCATTATTAAAGATGACTGGAAGTTAGAACTAAGTGTGAAGTAGGGTATCTGCCTTTATAGAAAAGTTAGTTTGGAGACAGAACTGGTAGAAAGTTTCCTCTTTGGGGAACTGCAGATGTTTTGGCCTGACTAGAGCAGAAAAGGTAGAGGGCCTAGGCTTCATATCGGGCATTTTGATATGTGATCTTTCTATCTCTGTGTCTCTTAGCTTGAACAGCCTAATTTTAACTGCTCTTCTGAGTAACTGCTGACCTTCAAAGTAAAAACCAACTAAATCCATCTATTAGCTTAAATCTGCACCTTTTCCCCTGATTTCAGCGTTTGTTAGTGGCACCATTAGCCTCCTTTTCTCCATAGTTTAGACTTTATCTTTTGCTTAGATTTTGTACTGTCTTTCTAACTAGTCTCTTCACCTCCAGTTTCAAGTTCTGTCTTCTTTTTCTCTTCTTCCTCCACCTTCGCCTCCTCCTTTTCCTTTTAATTTTTTTTTGGTGGTACTGGGGATTAAACCCAGGACTGCTCTACCAGAGCTTTTTTATTTATTATTTTGAGATAGGGCCTCACTAATTTGCCCAGACCAGCCTTGAACTTGTGATCCTCCTGCCTCAGCCTCTCAAGTAGCTGGGATTATAGGTGTGTGCCACCATGCTCAACCTACCTTATCTTCTTTTTTAAAAAAATTAAAAAAAATTTTTTTTTAGTTATCAATAGACTTTTTTAAATTTTATTTGGTGCTGAGAATTGAACCAGTGTCTCACACATGCTAGGCAAGTGCTCTACCACTTAGTCACACCCCGAGCCCTGCCTTATTTTCTTTAGGCACAGTTCTACTTATTCATCATAGCAAATATTTTTGATCTGTGAAGTTGATATTAGGAAGGATTGAATCCTAAGAGCCTACTTCCTTACTACCTCTGACATTAGCAATTAATGATGTTCAAGAGTCATATCTCTTTATTAATACTAAAAAGAAACAGGCCACAATTTTCAATCAGCAAATACTGAGTTTTTTTCCCCCAACACAGCTTCCTACGTGTTTCACTTCTGTGTCTCTCTTTTATTAATTTCCTTCATCCCTCACCTCACTCTGGACCCTGTGTTTTAAAATTCTAAGGATGTCCGTTATTAAGTGATTTAGCAACAATTTCAGTAATCCCTTCTTCTCATCCAAGTACTAACCTAGGACCAAGTGGTGAAGATTAAAAGAGGAAACTAAGGGCTGACTAGTAAAGAGAAAGTATGATGGTTTTGTCCCTAGTGTGTTGTACAGTGCCTGGTCCTTAAGAGCTATTTGTTTAATATTTGTTGCATGAAATGGAAATGATAATGTTCACTTTTATAAGCCCTATATTTTTATTACCGAAGCTTAAAATTGATGGCTGTTTTTGGATGGTATTGCATGCCTTATATTCACAAATTACATTAAGGTTTTGGGCTGTGAAGGAATTAAAAAAGCCACCTGAGTTACTTTGTATGAATGTCTTAAGTTCCTTTTCTGGGTATTATATATTAGGGCAGAGTGAGGGTAGTGGAGACAAAGCCAGAGGAAAGCTTGCATGGATGGTT